AATTAAAACTGATATAAAATTGAAAATCTGAAGTCAAAACTAAATAAAAATAAAAACTAATGAAAATTGCAAAACTATTAAAACCCTGGGCCATAAATACTCAATGATAATTATTTTTGATACTCTCTTGACCATCGTTGCCCACAAAGCCATTAAAAGTATAAAAGGATATTGGAAGTGCGTCATTTGAATTCACGTTTTCACCCCAAACCATAGTTAAGTCTTTACCTGGACGATGGTGAGACAAATGACTCAAACAGATTCGGTTTGATAAGAATTCGATTGGGATTGAAACAGTTTCAACATGAGAGCTTTTGGTAATTTGCAATTATACAAAGTGTTATATAGATTTTATTCTCATAAAACCGCAGCTCCAATGCAGACTTTCAATAAAATAAACAGCAAACTGAGTCTCAGAAATTCACGGAAAGATGTCGGATTGATCTCCAGAATCTCTGTAAATTGTGACTGAAATGATGCGAATGGATGGCGAGATCAAATGCAGCTTCACATGTGATGATCCCATTATTAGCAGGGCTCGACCTATTTTTCACCTGAGAAATGTGGTGATTAAAAATTAAAATGCCCATTATACTCCATATATCACTGGTTTGGTGACAGCTGTTTCGCTGACGTCACAGCTGGTGACACCGAAGCTGAGATAAGGCTCCTGGCAACTAGTGCAGCTCAACCTGACCAAGGTTTTATTGAACTGGTTCATTACCAGTACAGGAGGAACTTATGCTAGAGGAAGCAGTGACACTCGCTGTCAGGCGTACCTGCACCATCTCATTGCTATAAATCTAATCCCACATTTGGATCTCCACTGAAGTACTCGTCAGCCGGTAAGTCATTACTCTAGACATAATTCCCAGGCGACCAGTTGCTACATAGCAACAGGTCACAGATGCTATCAGTCAGCACAGCTCTGCCCTCCTGTCCTGATCAAATAGAAATCGCAGCTCTTCCTCGACTATTTGTCCGTCTTTGTCACGCGTGTGTGTTTTTGCAGCAGTGATGTCAGCATCCAGCTTTGTTTGCTTCGGAGAGGCCCGACCTTCACACAGCGTCACCCTGCAAT